TTGCATCGAGCAGGGGCTGTTCTTCGTTGCGGTGTGCAGGCTTCTCATTGCGGTGGTTTCTCTTGCTGCGAAGCACAGCACCTAGGCGCGCGGGCTTCAGTAGTTGTGGCTTGCAGGCTCTAGAGTGCAGGCTCAGTAGTGTGGTGCACGGGCTTAGCTGCTCTGCAGCATGTGGGATCTTCCTGGACCAGGGCTCGAACCCATGTCTCCTGCATTGGCAGGCAGATTCTTAACCAATGAGCCACCAGGGAAGCCCTAGGTGTTGTTTTATACTTCACGTTACATCACATCAAGAGTCACATAAATCAACATAATCTAAGGTTGATTAGAGCATTTTGGTGGTTATGACCTGATATAAAGTTCTGCGATATCCTCTAACTGCTTTAGCATTCATTGGTGATTGATGCCTGAATCATTTCATCAGGGGTTACTAAATGGTGATTTCCTAACTCTTACCTTTCTTTTTTAAAACATCTTAATTGAGGTACAACTGACATACAATAAACTGTACATTTAAAAAAGTAGAATTTGATAAGCATTTTTATACATATACACCCCCATGAAACCATCACCATAATCAAGATAGTGAACATATCCATCACCCCAAGATTTATTTTGCCCTTTTATATATTTGGAAATTTTCATAATCGAAAGTTTAAAAAAAGGGAACTATTTAAGAGCTAGATCATCTGAAGCTTGAGGCCTAATGAGAAAAGGGTCTGGAATGACTCATAGGTTTGTAATACAAGCCATTGAATAGCCACTGATATGAGCCATTTATTGAAACTGGGAACACTGGAGAAGAAACTTGGTGTATTCAGTTTTGCACATGTTAAGTTTAAGGTTACAATGAGACATTCAAGTAGAGATGTCAAGTAGGCAGGTCCTATATTAAAAGGTAACAGTTTGGACTAGGGATATAAACTTGGGAATGTTGGCATATAGTAACTGAAGCCAGGGAGCAGAAATTATCAAGAGAATAAGTACAGAACAGAACAAAGACTCAAGGGGGAAAAGACACTTTGAAAAACTCTAATGTTTTATGATCAGCTAGAAGAGGAGCAAGGGGGAAAATGAGAGTACAGTATTGCAGAAGCCAAGGGAAAATAAGGCAAGAACACATCATTTGTGCTTATCCTAGTAAGTCGCATTCTGTATAATAGTTTTACTTTTCGCTCATAACTGATACATTACGATTTATAACCAGTAAGTGTGGGCATACTCCTGAAAGATGTGTCATCTTTAGTTCATTAACAGAATTAAGTTTCTGAGTCCTGTAAGGCTGAGAACTAGACCATGGGCTCTGTAAATCAACGAAAGTAAACATTACCTTGGAGGACTCTAGATAGCTGTTTGGCTGGCGAGTTTTGCCTGGTGACCTCCAAGCCTCAGGAAGTCTTTCTTTGAAGCATTTACAGTACTAATTACTTTTTTAAAGGAGTAATATTTAAGACAAACTCTTTTGTTTTGTCTATCATTAGTCTCTCAGGATCGTAAAATAAAAGGGAAACTGGCTCATTAACAACTTCAACCTCCCCTAAAGGTGGGAATCTGGCCTTAAACTTCCTGGTGATTATCCAACCACTGCCTGTACAACATAGTGACTCTGGGTCACCATGTGATAGGATGAGAGAAAGGGGAAAAGGGGAGTTGTTTAATGAGTATAGAGTTCCAGATTTGAAAGATGAAAAAGTCTGAGAGACCTGTTGTACAACAATGTGAATAAACTCAACATATTGAACCCTACACTTAAAAATGAGTAGATGGTAAAGTCTATGTTATGTGTTTTTTACCACAATTAAAAAAAAAAAGTAAGCAGGGCTTCCCTGGTGGCGCAGTGGTTGAGAGTCCGCCTGCCGATGCAGGGGACTCGGGTTCGTGCCCCGGTCCGGGAAGATCCCACATGCCGCGGAGCGGTAGGCCCGTGAGCCACGGCCGCTGAGCCTGCGCGTCTGGAGCCTGTGCTCTGCAAAGGGAGAGGCCTGCGTACCGCAAAAAACAAAAACAAAAACAAAAAAAAACAAATAAAAAAGTAAGCAGAGGGACTTTGCTGGTAGCACAGTGGCTAAGAGTCTGTGCTCCTCATGCAGGGGGCCCGGGTTTGATCCCTGGTCAGGAACTAGATCCCACACGCATGCCACAAATAAGGAGCCCGCCTGCCGCAACTAAGACCCAGCGTGACTAAATAAAAATAAATAAATATTAAAAAAAAAAAGAGGGCTTCCCTGGCGACACAGGGGTTAAGAATCCACCTGCCAATGCAGGGGATACGGGTTCAAGCCCTGGTTCGGGAAAATCCCACATGCCGCAGAGCAACTAAGCCCGTGAGACACAACTACTGAGACTGCCCTCTAGAGCCCGAGAGCCACAAATACTGAAGCCCGTGCGCCTAGAGCCCATGCTCTGCAGCAAGAGAACCCACTGCAATGAGAAGCCCGTGCACCGCAACGAAGAGTAGACCCCGCTCGCCATAACTAGAGAAAGCCCACGCACAGCAACAAAGACCCAACACAGCCAAAAATAAATAAACAAATAAATTTATTTTAAAAAATTAGAAAGAGAAAATGAAGGTCTGGAAATTTAAAGAAAAGGCAAGGGTTGTAGTGGTATTAAGAACTGAGCTAGACACTATGGAGAACAGTATGCAGGTTCCTTAAAAAACTAAAAATAGAATTACTGTAAGACCCAGGAATCCTACTACTGGGCATATACCCAGAGAAAACCATAATTCAAAAAGACACATGCACCCCAATGTTCATTGCAGCACTATTTACAACAGCCAGGTCATGAAAGCAACCTAAATGCCCATCGGTAGATGAATGGATAAAGAAGATGTGGTACATATATACAATGGAATATTACTCAGCCATAAAAAGGAACGAAATTGGGTCATTTGTAGAGGCATGGATGGATCTAGAGACTGTCATACAGAGTGAAGTAAGTCAGAAAGAGAAAAACAAATATCATATATTAACGCATATATGTGGAACCTAGAAAAATGGTACAGATGAACCACTTTGCAGGGCAGAAATAGAGACACAGATGTAGAGAACAAACGTATGGACACCAAGGGGGGAAAGCAGCGGCGGGGGGTGGTGCTGTGATGAATTGGGAGATTGGGATTGACATGTATACACTGATGTGTATAAAATGGATGACTAATAAGAACCTGCTGTATAAAATAAAATTCAAAAAACCCCCCCCAAACAAAAATGAGCTAGAATAGATTCTGTGATACTAAAAAGCAAAAAAAAACCCATTGATTTTTAATATATTAAAAAAGTTACATCACTGTATCTCATCTGTGCCCAAATTCATCAAATAAACATTTAGAGCTTAAATTCAAGGCACAGTGCTAAATACTGAGGACCAAAAAAAGCTTAAGAAATAGTTCTTGCCTTCAAGGAAATGGACAAGTAAGCAATTATTATAAAATATGGTAAGCAGAATTAGAGATATAGAGTACAGAGTACATAAATTACTATGGTAGAACAGATAGAACTTTCTGGAAGGAGTGGCACCTGAATTAGAAAATTCACAAATGTCATCTAAAAAGATTTCATACCACAGTCTAATCCTGAGCTTTATTAATGGTAGGATACGATAGAAAGAACTACGTTTTTTTAAAGGAGTAATTCATATCTAGAAAGGAAAGGAAAGGAAGAGGGGAAAAAAATAGGGATTTGGAGGGAGGAAGACTTCCTCAATTTCCTCATCACTGCATTTTCTATTTTTAAAATTAGCTCCAAATTTTCCTGCTTCTGTGCCTTTGTCCACACCATAACTTTAACTTGGATAATCAATCAGTATTCCTTTATATTAAAATATGTACATATAACAAACAGCGTTGACTGAACTAAACTATAAAATGCTTTTCGATTAATAACTAGAGGTGAAAATAAAACAGACATTCTCTTCTAGCATTTTGGAAAGAAACAAATTACGCTACAAATTTAGTTTTAATGAATTATAAGCGCATCTGGATTTAGGATGCGTGCCTGAGAAAGGCCGTTTTCACAAATCTTTGTTGCAGAAAGTCGTATTTTAGATGTATCCAAACGAAATAAAAGGGAAGGATGAGATTAGGATTTTTAGGCCAACAGTAGATTTACAAGTGCATATTATTATCAGAGGCTTTTTCTGTTCTCTCACACTCAACTAATAGCCTATGATACTGTAAACTTTCAAAGAACACAGTGATTAGATAGATTCTTTTTTCATATCTACCAGGATAATCAGTGATTTGCGCATCAGTGGTGCTTCACTAGGAGGCGGGGGTGACGTGCGACCCTGAGGGACAGAGAGGGTTCTGACTGTCACAACTCGGGCTGGGGGTGCGGGTGCTACTGTCATCTAGTGGTAGAGGCCAGAGATGCTGACAAACATCCCACAAGGCAAAGAACTGCCCCACTCCTGTCCTGAATAAAAAATTGTCCAGCCTCTATGTCAACAGTGGTTGAGAAAATCTGATACATGAAAATATACTTCTTTCTTTTTCTTTTCTTTCTCTTCCACCCCTCTTCTTTCTTTTAAATTGTAACTCTTGAATGACAAATGGAGCATATTTTATGCCAAGAAAAAGAGAAAATGCTACTGATTTTTTCTTACAGACTAGATATTTGGTCCATACTGCATCTGTTTTGACCAAAGTAACAAGACAGTTTCCACCAAAGTTTTACTTGACCAATGGAAATCTTTGTACCAGATTGTATTGGTTAATAATAATATGAAATATAAGAAAAAACAGAGCCCAAAGAAAGAATCAGCAATTCATATCCACTTACATGATATCTGACCACCATTATTGGGCATATAAAATGCCTTCTAGTAGACTTCACAGATGACTATTAATTTAAAAATTGTAAGGTGTCTTGGTATTTGTGTTATGACATTTAAATTCAAAATTTATATAGTTAGAAAAATACTCACCAATATAACTAATCAAAATATTTATAAGCCACATGTTTAAAATGCCTTAAAGAATTACGAAAGCTCCAATATTTAAATCATAGTAGAGTATACAATATTTATTTTGTAACAAAATAGATAAAACCAAATATTTGCACTTTATGTAGTTTGATTATTATGATAATTTGTTAATTTAACATTCAGTTAAAATAAACTTTAAATTAGCTATTTAAAAAATGTCAAGTACGTGATTAAGATAAATTTTGTTCATCAGAAAAAGACCTTCAGGAGTAAATACTGATAGAGCAAATCTGTCCAAAATACTACGTCTTCATTTTTTGTGTCTTAGACCACTCAGGTGCTTCTTTTTTGGTCTGTAAAAAAAAAGGAAAAAAAAAAAAAAGAAGAAGAAGAAAAGAAAATTAAGTAAAATGCTTATAAGGAGGAGAAGAGAAACAATTCAAAGAACTAAGTACCTGTATACATTGGGGATTTTTATGTAAAATTATAGTAAATAATTGCTTTTTGTAATTCAGAAAGAGACTTAAGGGCAAAGATTTTGTCTTTTGTCAGAAATAATCTCCCACCTGGTATGTCGATTAAAATAAATACACAGCTGTGTTTTCTGGCTTAAATCCGATATTTAATATATTCTACAGAGGCGAATATTTTATGAATTGATTCTATTTTCAAATAAAATTATAAAAAAATCAACGGCACAGCTTCTTTTTAGTTGTCTTATCTATCTACATACAGATACTCATTCACTCAATAGGTATTTAGTAAAGAATTTCTAGATCCAAATCATTGTGCTTTGGGTATTCTGCATTGCTAAGTATTTACCAGAGTACTTCTTGGGTTTACTGCTCAATCATTTCAATGTAAAAGAGCCTGGCTATACAGAGTAGTAACAAAAGAGCAGGGAAGGTGGTCTGTGATAGAGCACTTAGAACTCCCTATATAAGATACTGATGCCAATCAAAACATCTTATTTTATATAATATAATAAATCAAACATGCAATTACTCCTTTCCCACTTATATCTCCTTAAAACTATGAAGAACCACATTCCTAAATATATATACATTGGCATATAGATAAGTAAGATAAGTTATGACAATTTTATCTTTTTCATATGCCATAGCTGATGCACAAAATGTTAGAAGTGACATCAATGGTCAGCTCCTCTTGCCCTTAGCCATGCCCTTGGGCAGCTTCAATTACCACCAAATACACCAGTAGACCCTCCACCTCCTTCCTCCAGCCCCATCTGTATAACCATAGCTCTAACTTGAGCTACAAATACTTTTACATGATGCCTAAAGGCAAGTAAAATTCAGTATGTCAAAATGAACTCCCCCAATCGCCATATTCTCTGTCTTGGTGAATGGTACCATATTTTGTTCAGTCATCTAAACCAGAAATGATTGATTCCTCTTCATCTTAGATTTCTCCTTTTTTTCCCCCACTTGCTACGTTCATTCTAAACAGTCCCTAACATTTGTAGAAATATCTTTTAAACTCCTTATTCTGCTTCTATCTTGACCCCAAAAGGCTTACCTTGGGCCCTCATCATTTCTGGGCCTCACTCCCGCAAGAATTTCCTAATTCTGATTTGGCTTTTTCTTCTATTATGTTCATCACCCACAATCCCTCCAAGCTTATCTTTCTAAAATGCAAATCTGCATTAAAACACTTTAGTAGTTTTTCTTTAATAGAAAGTCCAAAGTTATTAGTATTAAAGGTGAAAGAAGCTTCCAGGGTAAAATAAGGAAATCATAGGGAAAAGCCAGGTGCTATCTTCCAAGAGAATTCAAAGGTGACAGGGCCTAACCAAATCCAAAAGAAACCAGAGTACAAACCAGAATGCTAGCTGATCTGCCAGGGGAGGGGTAAGTTCCATTTTGAGAAACTGTGATCTTCACTAGGTCATAAGGTAAACTGGTTTTCTTAACTGTGGCTCGTGGACAAAAAAATATGAAAGCAACTTCTACAGATCAAGTAAAAGGCACAGAATTTGTATATCTGCATTTTCTCAATCAACTGATACTAAAAGTTCTTTTACTACTATGTATGTATGTATGTATAGTAGAAGGTAAATAAAACTTTTGATATTAAAAGGGAATCTTAAGACTCATAAAGGACAGTACAAGCATTTTAATGGTAGACCGTCCTTCCTGACTACTTCAATCTGTGTCTGGTCCATTGCAGACCATCCGCCCTCCATCCCCTCCTCCCAGTAACTTCTTTCTTCAGATGTATTAATGAAGTAGCTTTGCCACAGTCGAGTGTACCTCTGTCCTGGGGATTAACTGCTTTCCCACTTCATAAATTGACTTTTCAGTTTTTTGGTCATAGCCATTTAAAATTAGTTTCACAGCTTGTCCCATAGGTCTAATGTATATTCCTTATTCCTAGGTTATTTGGGGGGAACTTCACTATCATTGTCATGTCCAAGCTACATTTAACTTAGAAGATAGGGCCCTGTAGGATCTGGTCCAGGCCTACTTCTCTAACCCTATCTCTTGACACTCTACTACATGAACTAAATTACTTGTAGTTGAGATTAGTTTTATAGTAATTTATTGAACACCTACTATGTACCAGGTCTTTGTGTTAGGTTGTACAGCTATAAAAATGAGTAAGACCCTATGACAGAGCCTGGTGGTTGCCTAGATTACATCTATTTTTCCCCTTTCAATAACAGAACTCTGATGTCATTATGAGAGTAATGGGCTCATCCAGTGAAAAACTACATTTATCAGCCTCCCTTGCTGCTAGGTGTGGATGAGTGACTAAATTCTGACCAATGGAATACAAATAGAAGATGTTGGGTAGAACTTACAGAAAAATGCCTTTAGAATAGGAGATGGTATTTCCCCCCATTTCCTCTTGCTTCCTGCTTGGAATGCAGATGTGATGGCTTAGGCTACAGCAGCTATATTGTGATTCTGAGGACAGAGACCACACACCAAGGATGGTTTGAAGAGAAAGGCAGAAGAAACCTAGGTACTTGATGACTTCAAAGGGCCACATACTAGCCCTGAAAAGCTTATCTTCAGGCTTTTATCTGAGAGCCAGAACAATCTACTTAAGTCACTGAACTAGCTGTGGAACGTAATTCCTAGACACTGACTCTAATCCTTAAGTAAGTTATAGCATTTGTTTCATGTTGTATTTTCTGCACACAGGAAAAGTGTCTGGCATGCAGTAGGTGATCAATGACATGCTTCTTTTGTTGTTGATTTTTTTTTTTTTTTTTTTTGTAGCTGGAGCACAGTACAGAATAATGGGTTAAAGTACAGGCTCTGGAATAAAACAGGCTCCAGTCATTTATTTGTAAACTCGGGCAAGTTGATGACCAGTTACTTCACACATAATATGAGGAGAATAAAAAATAACGGTGATGGATATTCTGGGTACCCTCAGACCTGCTGTGCCTCAGGATGCTGTCAGTGGTGGCTTATGGTTTCTGATTAGGTTCAGTTAATGAGCTGCAAAGTGGGCTTGTGGGTCAGAGGAGAAAGAAGTTGGGATATCTATTCTTCAGCTCCTTCTTTGCCTGGCCATAGTTTGGTAGTAGCAGATTCTTCTATGGAAGACCAAAGTTTCCTACGAAGGCTCTAATTCCTCTCCTTGCCCCTTGAGACCTAGGAGTGTTTATAACTTTGCATAGTTACTAAGCCTAAAATGTTCATTATCGCCTGTTGGTTTCTACCTCCTTGTTTCTCCTATAGAGGTGTTTCTCACTCCCTCCAATTTATCCCTCCATCTGCCTCGTCTTTCTCCTCCACCGCCACCTTTGCTACCTTCTTAATTTCTGTCTGAATTGATATCAAAGTCTGTTGGCTCTTTCTTTCCATTCCTCTAGTTCATCTTTCACTGTTGCTGTCCAGGTCTGAAAATACAAACGTGACCCTCACAGTATTTTTTACTTGCTTCCTATTTGGTATTTATCACACATGTTATATGACACACGGTTTCCATGATCAGACTCTGAGGCACTCTAGGGCAGGGGCCCTGAGCATGGAATAAGGCTTGAATAAATGAATAGCTTCAAAAGAATGTGCCACAGACTCAAAAGACAATTCCATAAGAGGTACTGCAAAATGCTTTGAGATATAGCGTGGAAGAACCTTGAGGATGTTATGCTAAGTGAAATAAGCCAGTCACAAAAAGACAAATATGGTATGATGCCACCTATGAGGTATACAAAACAGTCAATTTCATAGCAATTCAAAGTAGAGTGGTGGGTTGCCAGGGGCTACAGAGGTGGGGGTGGGGAAGAAGGGATGCATTGCTCGATGGATACAGAGTTCCAGTTTGCAATATGAAAAAGTTCTGAAGACCTGTCTCACAACAATATGAATACACTTAATACTACTAAACTGTACACTTAAAAATGGGTAAAATGGTAAACTGTATATGTTTTTTATCACAATAAAAAACAAACAAAAATACCAAGAGCTTTTTAAAAAAATGTTTTGAAAAAATGCAGCAATACTGAAAAAGTGTATTGTTTCCATGAGCTACCTGGACTTTGCTGTTAAAGAAAGTTACATATTTTATTAGATATTTTACATTCTAAAATAGAAAAAACAAAGAGAGTAGTAGGACCTCATTTCCTACATATTTAATAGCAAAGCAAGTTTCCATCGGAATCTATTTTTACCTGGGTATACTGCCATTTAAAATTTCCTTAGTTTTAAGATAATGATGAGATCTTGCAAAATTCAGCTGCTCAAAAACCTTGAGCATTTGGTTTTACTTCTTTCGGGCCTTTATTTAAGTGCTGTCTTCGCAGAGAGGCCATCCCTCCCTATTCTTCACCCATCGACTGCCCTGTTTTATTTTTTCTCCATAGCATTTGTCATTTTTTCACTTTCTCTACAATTTATTTTTTGGTTTGTTTGTTGCTTTACAGTCTAATCTCCAAAAAAGAATGTAAGTTTCGTGGAGGCAGGAAGTTTTATGCCTTTATTGCCTCTAACAGTGCTTGGCACAAAGGAGGTGCTCAATAAACATTTCATTTTTTTGTTTTTTTGGTGGTCATGCCATGCGGCTTGCAGGATCTTAGTTCCCCAACTAGGGACTGAACCTAGCACACCACAGTGAAAGTGCCGAGTCCTAACCACTGGACTGCCAGGGAACTCCCAATAAACTTACGCGGGCCTCTCACTGCTGTGGCCTCTCCCGTTGCGGAGCACAGGCTCCGGACGCGCAGGCTCAGCGGCCATGGCTCACGGGCCCAGCCGCTCCGCGGCATGTGGGATCTTCCCAGACGGGGGCACAAACCCGCATCCCCTGCATCGGCAGGCAGACTCTCAACCACTGTGCCACCAGGGAAGCCCCCCAATAAACTTTTTAAATGAATGAATGAATGTTGTTTGGGTTTACTATTACAGATGCCTCTCAGTTCAATTTAAATCTGGACATAAAGCCTCATGAGAGTCTATATTCAAGAGTTGTCCCTATGTAATGTGAAAGAAAACGCCACTACAGTAATGTAATAATATGGTTCCAACTAATCAGGTAACACTGCCCTTTATAAGCATAGTGGGCAGTATTTATGATTCTAAGTAACACTGCAACTATTGAGTGGAAATGAAAATAAGCAATAAGATATGAAAATAGCATATTCTGTTGTATGAACTCAAGATATGTTCAATCTTTCTATTGGTAAAGTTCTGTTCTCAGTCACATTACGGTCTGAAACTCAGGTTACCTGCAAGTACATTAGGATAGAATAGGCCAACTTCTCATCTACATCAGTATCTATGTCTAAACACTACCAAAATTCAAACAAATTTCATGGAGATAATAATGATTCTGGAAAGTTGATTTCTGATTCTCGTGAGACATACGTTCTTCATTTCTAGATATTTTGTCAGTAAGGTACTATCCATTAGTGACGGCCCGAAGTTCCAGCCACTGGAAGTTTCTAAGCCTTTACAACTCCTGATTAGTACTGAGCAACTAGCATTAAGATAGAGCACAGAATGGCAAACTATGATCCATGGTCTGTTTTTGTATGGATTGCCTGCTAAGAATGGATTTAACATTTTTAAAGAAAGGTAAAACCAAACAGAATATGCATTAAGATGGTATGTGCCTCATAAAGCCTAGAATATTTACTGTCTTGCCCTTTAAGGAAAAATTTGCCATCTCCTGATAGATGACTGTTAAATAAAGTGGGCACAAAAATTCAGATTAACAGTTAACTGCTTTTTATTTTGGTAATTCCACTTCTTTACCTATTTAAACAGTAGTGTTTCTTTTATGTTACTATCTTAAAGTTATTTACCCTTTCTACCCATAAGATGGTGCTTTGGGTAACAAATTTTGTTGTGCCTATTTAGTTTTTTTTTGGCCACGCTGTATGGCATGTGGGATCTTAGCTCCCCGACCAGGGGGTCGAACCCATGCCCACTGTATTGGGAGCGTGGAGTCTTAACCACTGGACCAACAAGGAAGTCCCATGTCTATGCAGTTATTAACAGAGTTAATATTTTAACTGAAGAGGGCCCTATTTTCTGACTATTTCACACTTCTGTTTTTTTTTGTTTTTGAATTTAAGACTTTCATAGGTTCCATGGTATGAAACCCTTTTCATAATATATTTTTCATACACACACACACACACACACACACACACACACACACACACACACACATATGACGTGATGTTAGACATACAAATTACTTAAAAGTGAGCGTTTATATTGGGAACATTGCTTTAATTTTTATGTGCTGGTTTAGATTAATTATATTTGTAATTGTATAAAGAAACAGCACAAATTAGTGGTGTTAACAGGCCCTGAAGTAAATTGTATTCCAGATGTAGGAAAGAGCTCAGAGGGCTGTGATAAAAACAAATGACAGGATTAACTGTAAAGCAACCAGAAGTAATTTACTGTTCCAGTGTGATTTGGGAGATAAATAACTGATAAGATGGGTACTTTTGTGTCATCCATAAGCAGGCAACTAAAACATTAATCTATAACTTGGGGATTATAACATATTGAGAAAGAATGCTGACTGATAAATGCAGACATAATAAGCCTGGTGGATTATTCCTGGAATCTAGAAAAAGAGCTAGAAATTAAGAATCTATTAGTGTTCAACCAGCGCCACTTCTCTAAAGAAAAGAAATACTATGTCTAGTAGATATAATTACTTGTTTTTTAAAAAAAACGATATAAGCTAGGAATTGAGGAAATAAATATTTATGATTCCTCAGAGGCAGGGCCCAACTAAAATGTGTCTAAGAGAGCTGACCCAGCTTTCCTACCAACAAAGTGACAAAAAGAGAAACTGCCCCAGATCATTCAGCCCTCACGGCTCTACTTCCACACTCACAAAAAAATTCCTTATTTCTAATTTAGCTTAGAGCTATATTACACCGGGAAGAGGCTGCAATTAGTATTCCTGAGACTCGAAATTGAAAAATTATTTTTAAAAATGTAAATGTACATAGCTAGCTATCTTGAGGTCTGAGCATGTTCTGGTCAGATAAATCTAGATTCAACATGAAAAAGTGAGAACAGGGACTTCCTTGGTGGCCCAGTGGTTAAGAATCTGCCTTCCAATGTAGGGGATGTGGGTTTGATCCCTGGTCGGGGAACTAAGATTCCACATGCCGTGGGGCAACTAAACCTGCGTGCTCTGGAGCCCGCGCGCCACAACTAGAGAGAAGCCCGGGCGTTGCAACGAAGAGCCCGCGTGTCGCAACTAAGACCCGATGCAGCCAAATAAATAAATAAATATTCAAAAAAAAAAAAAAAAAAAAAAAAAAAGAGGAAGAAAAGAGAAAGTGAGACCAGAGCTTCAAAATAAATGTGACAAAGCATTAGAGGTATGAAGAGCAATTGCTTCCCTCAGCTCCTAGACATGGCTGGAGCCCCTTCAATCTACCAGCAAAGTTCATTTACCCGGTGTGCCATACAAATGCTATACTTTTCTATGTGTGTTATAATGTGAAAAATGTGGGGTGGCACAGAGTTAGGACGTGCTCTGTGGTAATGCTATCCCAGGGCGGCACCCTGTGTCTTAAGACATCCAATGAGTTGTATTCATTATATTAAGGATATTACAAATAACTGCTAAATTCCATTTTAATTAAGTTATAAACTTTTCTTTATGAATAATGAGAAACACTGCTTTTTATAACCTATCAATTTAAATTTAAAATTTTTTTTGGTAAAGTACACATAACATAAAATTTACCATCTTAACCATTTCTAAGTGTACAGTTCAGTGGCATAGGGTATGTTCACATTGCTATGCTACCATCACCACCATCCATCCACAGAAGTCTTTTCATCTTGTATAACTGAAAATCTGCACACATTAGACAATAACTCCTCATTCCCCCTGGTTCCTGGTAACCACCATCCTAATTCCCGCCTCTTTGAATTTGACTACTCCAGGTATATCCTATCCACTGTATTTTCCTTTTCTCCTAAGGAAAAGTGTTCAGTGGTGAAATGACTGAAGTCAGGCATAAGAATGTAGTAAGAGAGGAATGAAGTCTAGATTATTAAACATCCTAGTTTTTTTTTTTTTTTTGTCTGCGCCATGCGGCATGCGGGATTTTAGTTCCCCGACCAGGGACTGAACCCGTGACCCCTGCATTGGGAGCGTGGAGTCTTAACCACTGGACCACCAGGGAAGTCCCAACATCCTAGTTTTGAATAATGAAAAGGAACACAAATTAGAAAATGTTTTGTGAATATTATACTCTTTGCCCTTGGAATTTCTCACTCTTTAACCCTTATTGTCCTTGTCAAATCAAGGTCAACCTCAAATACTTTCTTTTCCTGGAGTCCATCAACATCACATTCTCTCTTCTTTCTTTGAATTTCCATAGCAGTTTATATTTCCTTTAAAGTAGTTTGTATTTCCTTCCAAGACCATGGTCTTGGAAGTTGCTGCTTTCACTCTCCCTGGAGTTTATTTAGTTCAACACTAAAGTTCCCCACACAGTTTAGAGTTTTAATGGCTAAGAAGATAACTAAACTGGGGAGGCAAATAACTGTTGTTGTTTTTTTTTAATGCTGTGTTACCAGATATTTATTGAGTACCTGCTTTGATCATGTGCTATGTAAGGCAATGGGAACACAGCTTCTATCCTCAAAGCACTTACATTCGGTGGTTCAATTTAGTCTTTGTTGGTGCATCGAATGCCTGAAAAACAATTCTCCCACATCTGTGATTTCAACAGTCAGAGCTTTTCTATAAAATACACCTTTTGGGGTTTTCTTATGTAAATATCACATGAGCACTGCAAAACGTTCACATGATTATACAAATATGTAAAGAAAAATGTCTCAAGCTTTTATTTCTCCCTTTCCTCCTCTGTAACATAACACAGCTCTACGTTCACCCCACTGCCCATTTAACAGGGGCTTTGTGTGTCTTCCTCATATTTTCAGTGCACATATAAACACACATCCATCGATCCATCTCTCTATCATTGAATTGAATATCAGGGAAAAATACCAACAGCAGATAATATCAGCCAAAAGATCTGGAAGTAAATTAGAAATGTTTCCATTTTAGCTATAAAACCATAAGATTATGTAATGATTAGATCTTATTTTCAAATATTTGCACCATAAATTCCTTATTGACAAGATGAGAGAAAAATGTAAGAAAAGCACTATTATGGAAAATTGAAAATACTGAAAATAATAACCGTAAAAATTAGGATGCCTTAAGAGAATCATGGATGTTAGTATAAAAGAAGTCCAGCCCTCATTTCATGTAATCTCCCTCCTAATTTTATAGATAAGACCCAGTTCAGGGCATTTAAATGACATGCCCCAGGTGACCTAGTCGGTTCCCATTCCTAATTCTGCAGTATTAGCACACAGTCTTGATCTGACTGGTTTACAGCACGATATCTGAATTTTCATTAGGATGTAGCTGAGATCATACCTTTTTTGAAAAATTTTCTCTTGTATACAAAAGATAGTTTATTATAGAAAAAAAAAAGAAAATACAGGTAAGCATAAAGAAGGAAATAAAAACTACCCAATTAATACTTCATATTTCAAATCTTCTTCATTTTCTTTTCATTGCAGAACCTTATCTCGAGATACTGGAGAAATCTGTTACTTATGTACTGGTGACAGGATTTCAGAATATCAGAATCAGGTTACCAAGCTAAAGTCAGAAATGTAGGAGGTCAGGGTCAGAAGGAATAGTTCATTGCTTGGAACAGAGAAGGGTCAGAAAAGCAGATCAGGGAAGTGTGATAGGCTTTAAGTATGTGGCTGTATCTTGCGGTTTTCCACCAATCCTACGTTTTCCATTAGCATCTATGTATTCAGTCTGCTCTCTTCTTGTAGATTATAATATAATAATAGACACATCACACTGTCTGTCGCAATCTTAGCCGACTTTCTCAGGGAAACCTGCCTAGCCATGGCCCTTCTGAATAAATAGCCCTAGGCAACTTTCTTTGGTACCCTGTGACCCCCTGGTCACAGGTAAGGGCAGCCATTCAGTAGGCTGGCTAATCTTAACTAGTTTTGCCACAAGGGGTATCTGCCAACAAGGAGAAGCTGGGCCAATTAAACTTGCTTTTGGAAAATACAGGAAGAACTAGGTTATAAGAGAGGAGATTAGGGAAAGGATGCATAGAAATACATCTCAAGACAAGGGGCTGTGAGCAAGTTGATGAGGAACTGGAAAACATGAGTAAGCAGACACCAGGAGAGAAACATAGGGAAGCTGAAGTACCACTAGAGGAAAAGACCTATGCACTCAGTTGTGGAAATCCATAGAGCTGCCTTGTACCCAGGCTGGTCAATCTCGATTTCCTGTGTTCTCCACCCTGTTAGCTCAGCCTGTATTGCTACGAGGATCCTTATGATAATTATCCCTTATTTCATTTAGACTGTAACTCTGTCATTTTTTTTAAAAAAGGAGGTTGAACTATGTAATCACCAAGCAAGCTCTCACATCCCAGTGATCTTGAGTCGCATGTTCTGAATGTATAATGAAATAGCTTAGATCAGAAGTTCCCATACTTGACTGATTATTATAATCATCTAGGGAGTTAAAAAAAAATTACGATTCTGGGGACTCACTGAATCAGAATATCGTACAGAAAATCTTTCTGGTTTTGAGTCTCTATGTTCAGATGGTAGAAATGTTTCTTCTGAGAAATTAAGGTATGGAGGGGAAACCATGTTGAAGTAAAGTGAACTATTTAATGAGGTTACTCCTATTTCGATTCTGTTGCCTTTGGATTCTTATTACTTGTTAAAACATCATTTTCAATATTTCCTAATTTATTTTCTATTTTAATCCAAATTTTTCTAATTTCTTGTTCTTCGACTAATTTCCAGGCACATACATTTTTACCTAATAATGCATTTCAGTTTTTCAGTTTATGTTAATACGATTGGTTTTATACTTTATAAGAAAACTCAGAGCAAAATATATTATTTTACAAATAAGAGGGGGTGGGTGATATTTTGCATCCCTTTTATTCTTATGCAAATTTAAAATGACAAAAACAGGCAATCTGGTTGGCATTTTCACTGCCGAGGGCCCAGGGTGCAATCCCTGGGCTGGGACTAAGATCCTGCAAGCCACAAGGCACGGCAAAACAACAACAAACAAACAAACGTCTTTATGCTTATCTGTATTTTTCTTTTTTTTCTACAGTAAACTTTCTTTTATATACAAGAGAAAAATTTTCAAACGAGGTATGACCTCAGTCAGCTACATCCTACTGAAAACTGAGAGACTGTGCTGTAAACGAGTCAAATCAAGGCTGTCTTTCTGATTCATTTGTAAGTCGTCCCTGGAGACTGGAGGAGGACAGTGCTAGAGTAATGCTAATTCCTAGGCAAGTCTGATATGTTAACTAGAAATATAAACCCCAACTATCAACTGTTCAGATAGGTAACATATACATTCAGAAAAAGGATAAATACAGACCTTTTAAAGTTAGTTTGAAACCACTATGAGAGGAAAGAAATTTAAGTTAAATATATTTAGTAAAAATAAGAGACACTAACATTCTAAGTTAATTTTTATTGTACTTACAAAGAGTGTTGGTTTGGGTATAAATATATTGTCTTCATGTTCTCTAGGCACATTCAAAGTCTTTGATTTCTGATTTCCTGTCACAGTTTTGGATTCCATTTTAGTAAAAAGCAAGTTGTCCTCAGAACGCTTACTATGCATATTAATGATAATCTGTTTCATTGCTGCCAATTCCTGTTGTGTATGAAAATAGAAGATGGAAGTATGATTTTAACAAGCAGACTCATAATGTTGATGTTAAAATATTTATTTTTATTCTTGAAGTAGAAAAAACATTTGAAGCAATTACTACATTATATAAATGAGGAAAGTTGTGAAAAAACAACATATTAATATTCAATAATTATGCACATGAATCTCATAGTCATTAAATGATAAATATATCATTCCAAAGGGGAAAGGGGGTAGGGATAAATTAGGAGCATGGGTTTAACAGACATATACTATTATACATAAAAGAGATAAGCAACAAGGATTTACTGAACAGAATAAAGAAATATATTCATCATCTTGGAAAATAATCTGAAAAAACATATGTATAAATGATTCACTTTGCTGTACACTTGAAACTAACATGGTATTGTCAACTATACTTCAATTAAAAAAAGTATTATTCTGTAGCCTAGTGGTTCCCCAATTTTTCTGCACATTGTAATCACCTGTGGAGCTTCTAAAACAACTGATGCCTGTGTCCCACCCCCAGAGACTGTGAGATAATTGGGCTGGGGTGTGGCCTCAGCTCTGAAATTTTTTAAAGATCCCCAGGTGATTCTAACAAATTTGGGAACCACTGGCATAGCTACTTTCCCCCATAGTTTCTCTACACATGCTTGATAAGCACATTATTTAGACACTTAACTTCTCTTCTGCCTCTTAAACTATTCTATTTCCTTTTGAAGTCTTACATGAAGATGCAAGTGAAAAAGAGTCCAAAAATTTTTTTCTTGCCTATTAATCAGCAGTTCAAACAGTAAGTTTGACATAGCTTCAGGATTTCTTTAACCATGTTATTCCCAGACTCACAGACATGGAAAACAAACTTAAGGTTACCAAAAGGGAAAGGAGGCGGGGAGGGATAAATTGGGAATTTGGGCTTAACAGATACAGACTACTATATATAAAATAGATTAACAACAAGGACCGACTGTATACCACAGGGAACTGTCTTCAGTATCTTGTAATAAACTGTAAGGGAAAAGAGTCTGAAAAAGAATACATATATATAAAAAACTGAATCACTTTGCTCTACACCTGAAACATTGAAAATCAACTAGACTTCAGTAAAAACAAAACAAAACATATTATTCCCTCTTCTTTTACAAATGAAAACCTGAGTTAGCTTTATCAGTCGTTGTTTGAACTAAGAATTCATTACACTGAACTTCTTGAAGAACCCGGATCAAAATTTCCACTCATTCCCTCTTCCAAGTCTTTTTTGTCTTTTATTTTCCCCCACAGTCAAACCTTTAGCACCAAACACTAACTAGTGGATATTTATGCTTAATTACTAAATTGATTCAATCAAACACAAGAATATGGAGAGAGGGCGGACTGAACTCTCCTTTACCTTATTATCTGTACAACAGTGGTAGGCTGTGTTGGTGGTAATTTTTTCCTATTATTTTATTGCATCTTCATGCCAAGACACAAAAGTTAGGGCGACAGAAAGATGTTCTGCTCCCTTCTACTAATCTGTTTATAGACATCAGCTCTGTGTCAGAGCAAGTTCCTACAGGCCTTTTTTTTTTTCTGGCTGTCATTAGTTCTATTTAGAACCATCTAGCTTGAGTGGGTATTTTAAAACAGAGCTGTTGAGTTTAAGCCACAGAGTCTTAATAAACCTCAGGGCCGAGAGAGGAGCTGGAAGAAATGGTGCCAGAATCCACTTTCTCATTTCTGCAGGACTGAGGCTGGCTTGGCCAATGCACATGAGGATGTGTCTACCTTCAGAAACTGCCAATCTGATACACTTTTATTTGACCCTTTTGAGGACTCATTGCTTTTGAGATCGTTACTTCATTTACATGCTTCCCTTTAGTGAAGTATATACCACTGATTTAATGTTAAACATGTCTTGTGTTATGGTAGATTTCAGCTCCTTCTTTACTTACCACACGATAGGTAGAGGGGAGAGGGGAGATGACGGTCTCTCAGCCTATCAAAAAAACACTTTTTATCTGAAAGAACCTCTTTTTACTAGCCGTAACTTTTGTGCCTTGGCATGAAGAGAAAATAAAATAATAGGCAAAAATTTCCTCTATCACAACCTACCACTCTATTACAGATAAATAAGGTCAAGGGGATCATACCTCCTGGCAGAAGGGAAGGGAGGGAGAGCAAGGCTGAGAAGGAAGAAAAGGAAGGAGTTGGTGGGGTACCAGGCAGAGGGCTTTGGCTCCTGAGTGCCCAAGAGGAGGTCACAGTTTTGTTCTCTGGCTTCACCTGCTGCTCGTATAGGAACAGTTACAGGAAGCAGATCACCCCTGCTGCTGGTCAGGAGACAGAAGGGAAATTCACAGGTTTGCTTTATTTAGACTAGGATCACCCCAACTTAGCATGCTGTCACAGTACCACTTTTGTTCATCTGATAGTATTATACAATGTTAGTTTAGCATGGGTTTTTGAAATCTAAGTAAAGAACACTGAAAAAGCAACAGAATTCTGTAAAATTCCTATTAGGATAATACACAGCTAAAATGGACACCAAAATAACATGCAGAACAATTCTGTTCAGTTTTATTATGTTTGGTCATATAGATGATCTCTTTTATATCAATTGTAAATTTGAACAAAGAAAATTCCACTTTAACATCAAATAGTATCCACGATACCACCACAGACTGAGCACACAGAAAGCCAAGCATAGGTAGTGGAGATATTTTAGTATGAGGTTAGAAGTCAAAGACACATCTATTCCTGACTCTGTTATTAACTGTGTAAACTTAATCAATCTACTCTGATTGAACGAGCTTCAGTTTCCTAATTGATAAAATGTATGTCTGTGTTACCTTTTTGGATTTTTGCCAGTCTGATAAGTGTTTGGGTATGTCTATTTTGCATTTCTCCTGCTGTAAGGGTGGGCAGCTTTTCAGTTGTTTAAGGGTATTTCCTTTTTTGTTGATATCCTTGGCTCAGTTTTCTACTGGGTGACCGGTCATTTTCTTTTACATTTCAAGGCTCTCTTTACATGTTAGAAACATTAGCTCTTATCTGTAATATGAACGGCAGTTTTTCTTCCCTTTTAATCTTTTTTTGACTTTGTTTATGCTTTTTATTTTCTTTTGTTTTTTTCCTGTGCAGAACTTTCTGGTTGTGATGTAGCTGAACATGGCAATCCTTAATTTTATGGTCTTCCCATGTTTCCTTCTTCCATTTTCCTCAAGTTACTTTATGGTTTCTTTTTCTTTTCTCTTTCAAACATTTAGATTTTTGATCTGTTTGAAGTTTATCCTGGCTTATGGTGAAAGGTGTGGATTCAGCATTTTTCCCCCCTTGGCTATTCTGTAATAACAACATCATGTACTAAAGAGACAATTTTTTCCTCTGATTTGAGATGTTATCTTTATCATATACTGAATTTCCATAAGTGTATGATTTATTTCTGGACTTTTAAATTCTATTCCAATTGTCTATTCACGCACCCATGTCACACCGTTTTAACGTTTAATGATTGAGGGTTTTTTTGGGCTATGTTCTTAGGGATATGGGTGGGTTTATGTTGAATTAAAAAAACAACAACTTAGAACTGGCTTTTATGATACTGAATCTTCCTTACCATGAAAATATTTTAATATTTCTTTTACCTACATTTTTGGCATAAATTGTCCTTCCCTAGTTGATGTTACTATTACAATGAAATGTTTGTGATTCACAAAATCCCAATTTGCATATTGACAAAGCAAACAAAAATAAACCAACATAACATACAAGAACCAGAAAAACTTGTCACTACAAAATGGGATCCTTTGTTAGGATTAAGTCATCTTGAAATCTGGCTTGGTCCTTGCCACGTTCTCTTGTCTGCCTCCTGATTGCTGGCTCCACCTCCTATTAAGAGTCTGCTCTTATTGTTTGGACTTGACTTTCACATGTCATTTCTCTAGCTTTTGGTTCTGCTTTTCTCTGTTCTCTAACTGTCCTTCTGTGATTGGTCAGCAGGGTTATTTGTACTACTGTTTAATGATTTATAAATACTGTTCACTGCAGAGCAGAGAGTGTGATTAGGTCCACAGAAAAGGAACCTGTGATGTTCAAAGGAAAATGTTTCAGGTATCAAGTTCAACTGGATTCTTTTTCTTACATTGCATCTATCGCTCAAAATCATGCCATTTACTTAGATTCCTACTTGGGCCCTGACTTTCTCATAGAGACTTTTCCCCCCCTTCTTCTTAAGAGTTCTTGCCTTTTTTTCCCTCATTGATGGAACTAGTATATGTCTTTTCCCATATTACCTAAGATTATCTAGCTTAATCATACTGTTTGCTGGGATCAATTTTGTACTGACTTCTTTTAAGACAGCTGCACAGTTGTTATTCTGAAATTTCTTTTTATTGCACATCTTGGCATGTTCCATTATTTCTTGCATTGCTCTCTTTCTGTCGTTTGATGGCAAACAATCTAGTAATTTCATGAGAGAGGGTACTGTGGTAAAGTACTGTGCTTCCCTTCAGAACTTTGACGGTGTTACATCTCTATCTTCTAAAGTCAAATTTCTAGGAACTATGAGGCCAAGCTGATCTTTATTTCTTTGCAGGTATTTTATTTCTCTCTGGAATTGTTGATATTGTTTAGCTTTTCCCTGTTAATTTCTGTCTTCTTACCTTTTTCTAAGCTTTAGGAGAGTTCAGTGGCTTTTCCTGACATCCTTCTACTGGCATTTTTACTTACTTATAATAACTTCATGATTTTGATTTTAGCAATTTTTGAAAACACCAGAAACTTTTTCTGTATAATGCTTATTTTCTGTAAATACTACTTCCTCAAATCTTTCTGAAGAAATTAATTACAATACTTTGTAAGTTCTTTTCTGTTACAGAAATTTTTGTTTTCTCTGGAGAAGGGAGTCAGTTTCTCTGTTTATTGTGATTTTTCCCTTTTGTGCTGTTAATTTTCTTCCAGTTTCTGACGGTCTTTGGTTGTGTGTTCCAATTTATGAATGAAGGAACAGATTAAAT